ATGTATATAAGAGAACCAATTAAATGTATTCATTGTTAATTGTCTAGTAAGTACACATTATGCTACTACATTTAAAAGAGATGTGCGTACTATGACGATTGCTACGCATAATATGCAGATACCAGACTAACAACATTATAATAATATTATGAGACATCAATCGAGAAAAMAATTAAGTTAGCATAAAATATGTCAAATGTACAATGTCACCAAAAATAATCATGACTTTATTTTTATAACCCATACTGGAATTAAAAAATTGACAAAAAAAAATACCAGGTACCTAAATAATATAAAATTTATTAAATCTTATCAATTTTATCGACACTTCGTTTTTGATAATTGTCTGAAATTGGTAACAACCGTCAACCACAGCATCATTTTTGACAGATCTCACTAAATTATATTTTATATATTTTTTCAGATGGTAAAAAAATATACCTGTATAGTTTATACCTAGGTGTATGCTATATTATATATAATATAATACACATAGTTTAAATCATTTTTTGGATCGAACTGCATTGTTTCACAATGAACAACACCATGATGTAATGCACTGAATTGCATGGACCAAGGAATTGCTTCATTCACAGTAACGTTTACGATTGACTATCATTCGGAACTAATTCGTATGATTTTCGTTTTAGCGATGAACTTACCTGTCGAGATGAAACGCAGCAATTTCGGCGTTGTGCCTTTCGTAGTCGGTGAAGTAAAAATGATTTGGTAGAGTCTGTTGTTCTCTGGAGAACCTGCGATTGTATAAAAACAAAATATTTTCAAAAATATCTATACAACGCGATACTAAAATAGTAATATACATAGTAGGTAATATGTATGTATAATATTATATGATATTATATATTTCGATTATAAAAATTAATGGACTATATGTTATCTTCAAAATAACTTCGTTTTATGAATCATTTTTTGATCAAATATATATTATGATAACCTACTGGCTACAACATTATTAAATGTACTTAAAAAATTTCTACTTTTCACATAATACATAATAATATATTAATTTATTAATATTATATAATTCTATAATAGTTCGAAATTGTAAAACGATAGCCACAAATGTTATRCGTGTTCCTATAATTGTATAATAACCAATATCGCACGAAGGAGAATTCAATTCAATCGGTTAAGGATTTTAAAATGCATATACATAATATATTAAAAATCACAGCCCAAGTATATACATAAAGAGTGGATATGTATTGGCTGTAACCGTCTCACTTTGATCACCTTGGGGCATATTTTRTATTTTTATTGTAGTTATCAATTAGGAATTATAAATAATTGCATTCGAAAAAGGATTCTAAGCATGTTTAATATACTAAAAATACCATATTATAAGCATAATATATTAKAAAACATTTAGAAAAAGTTCAACTTAACTACTTAAGGAACCTTGGTATTTTGTTATTATAAAATAATAGACAATAATATTAGAACGGAGGTGATGAATAATACAAAGATWATATCTACATAAAATAACATTATTTAAATAATTTCCATAACAAAAATTTACCTATTACTACAAAATAACAATAAATTATTGTTTATGAAATTATCAAT